AGAGGTTGATAATACTTACGAAGAATTTTTAGAGGGGCATGATTTGGGGTGTTTTTAAGATAAGACTCAGAATAAGATTTTATTAGACATAACCCCTTACTAGTCACCTCATTACTTAGAAAGAAAGAATTTCAACTTCTGTCATGGCTTAGACACTGTTTAACTACTGAGAACATTATGGTAACACCAAAGGACTATTGTATTCAGTTATTTTGGAAACCACATCAGTTTATGGAGCAGAAACACAAGTCCCACAAGACAGAAATGTCTTCCTTTTGACTGTGGTAAGTGACACATGTTGATTCATGCTAGAAGACTTTGCTTAGGTCAGAGTAGAGTCCTCTTGGAAAAATCAATCAAATTCTCTTCCCCTTTTTGGCATGATGAACAGGAAATTCTCTCTCTCTCTCTCTCTCTCTCTCTCTCTCTCTCTCTCTCTCTCTGTGTGTGTGGGGGGGGATGCGTGCATAAACAATGTTTACATATTACAGTGAGGTGTGAAACTAGGGAAGATATTTAAGAATCATAATTGATGCTTTGCTCAGTTCTCCATCCAACTCAGGGGTGAGTGCTATGTGCTAGTAGATGTCAGCGAGAAGAGCCTCTCTGCCACAAACATCTCAGGTTATATGTGCCAGCAGAATTTTCAGTTAATGCAGATACTATATAATAGAGATCCCAGAGACCTGAATTTTAAAGTCGTGTTGATTTGCTCTCCTACGCATTTGGAATGAGTCAATAATCTTTTGCACAGGTGATTTGAAGGACATTTTATTCAATAAGCTGACTCTGAATGCCAAAGCCCTGTATCACCTCACTCGAATTTACCTTTGTCTTTATATAGGGAGAGCTATTAAATCCTTGTCTTAAAAGATTTTTCATGAAATTAGATCAGAACAAAAAGGATTTTTAATAATGTTTTGCAGGCATCCACTTGCACAATTGTTTTTTTCTCTATGAGTAGGTCATACACAATGTTTGGGCACTCAATGTAATTTCCTACTATTTGACACTTAATGAAATTTCCTACCATTATCTAGACTTGCTTTGCCCATTGCTTATGATAGGGCTAATAGCTCAGAGGGACACATCTCAGAACACATACTCTATTGACCTGAAAAGTCTTCAACAAGGTCTGGAAGTTTTCTTCATAAAATAAAAGCATTCTCTGAACAATTGTCCTAATCTGCTGTCTGCAAAACTAGTCTTCACGCTCTCCAGGGGACATAATTTGTCCTGTGGTTTCTCTGAGTCGTGTGGAACAGAAGGTTTTCCTATAATCATGTAAGATTTTTAAAGCTAAGGGATTTTTCAGGGACCAGGCTGAGAGATTATAATAGCACAGGTAGGGGCTCCCTGATGAAGTGGAGAAAGAAGACAAGCCAGTCATCACACTGTGAGGCCTGGGTTGAACTTGAACTTCCTCACTCCTCTGCCTCTCTAGAGTATCACTTACATGGAGAAATCAAAAGGATAGAAGGCCCATGTAGTCTATCCATGGTGGGATGACAATGTCAAAAGAAAGGCAAGAGAACACAAGTTTTGGGGGTGGTCAGATCAAAGCCATTGATGAATGCTGGGGTGACGGGTGGTCCCTAGGGTCTTCTTTTCTGGAAGAATCTATGGTGGTGTGGAACCCATAGCACAAAACCAGTGCTTTGATGTTTGAGGGATGCCACTAGTCAGTATCCTAAAATAATATTTCACTCTTTAGAAAATATTTTTTTCTGCTCTGAGTTTGGAAAGTACTGTTCATATTTTACCATGTTTACCATGCTTTAACACCAGGGGGCTATTTTGCTATTAGTTCTTTGGCAGTTTCATTTCCCCAGGTTTTTTTTTTTAGTAATTTTATTAAATTATAAAAGTTTCCATTTCCGCCCCTCCTCCCACCACCCTCCCACTCCCCCCAATCCCTCTCCTCCT